AGCAAACCTATCATCATCATCATCATTATACATGTCAGCTAGAGATGGTAAAACACCTCCGCTATTGTACCGCAATACATAAAGGAAATACATACATACATACAATACATAAAGGAAAAATAAATACGACAGTTGAATGCCAGCTGAGCTACCAGCAACGGATAGGCATCGTTCCGGTAAGCTACCAGCCGGCTACTAGGCAAAAAGAAAAATTTAATTATGTTTTACCCTACGAAATAAGATCGTAGATGGAGGGGGAGGCTAAAGGGATGGGGAGGGACAAAGAAACTCACAGCAGGAACGCCACTGAGGTCGGCTCCTTGCCATATCAGCAAGTGTATCCAGCCATTACGTGTTCACCGTCTTTTGGACCCGAACCAGGAAGCCGTGAAGCACCAACCGAGGCCAGCTCCGAAGTGAGGCCTTCATTCCTCTCGACCAAGTCATAGCTTGGCCACCCCTCCCCCCCCGGTGAGCAAACAACGCACGTCGAGGGAGTCGGGGGGCTGGCATGCGCAAACACGTGGCCGAGCCACCGGAGGCCTGATGAGTGAAATGGACGGTGCTGAGCGGTTCATTCCCTTTTTCCTAGGCCGTAAACGAGGCGTCGAAACGCCTTCGTTACTCTCACGCGGTGTTCCCACCAGATGTGAGCCAAACTGCGAAGGCACCGATAACAGTGAATGATTATTTCATTTGTGCGAGGATGCCCACCTATTTCTCGCGAGCACTACATTTCGACACCGCATTAGCCAGAGGGTGACATGGCGCCCACCAGTCTATCACCAGCCATGGATGCAAATCGATCACATGGTGATCAGTTACCGCTGAGAGTGAGTCCAAAACTGTTGCTCGATTTGGAGCACAACTGTGGGAACTGCATCATCATACACGTTAGTTAGAAGTGGAAAACACCTCAGCTATTGTGCCACAATTTATAAGAAAAAAACCTGTAACAGAGGCACGACAGTTGAGCTACCAGTAGCGGATGGGCATCATTCCGGCTCTTGTGCCGCAAAATAGTTATATTATGCCTAGGAAATGAGATCGTGGTTAGAGAAGGAGGAACAAAGAAACTGACAACACAAACGCCACTGAAGTTGGCTCCTAGTCATATTAACAAATGTGGACATTAACCATGCACTTGTACGTGCTGATCTGCTGGTGCGTTCTGGCGGATACCCGCGGCCATGTTGTGAACGCATAGGCACCAGACAACTGGCGAAGCCTGATGTTCTGAATGACTATCAAAGTGTGCTGGCATTCAGATTGAGTAAGCGCTCACTGAATACGGTTGAAGGTCACTGGTCGCAAAATCGCCAGACCTTACTATCAACAGGCATGTTTCATGCGGAAAATCGAATTGTCAACCGGAACATTAAGTCTCTATGCAGTCAGTTGAACTTAGCGACGCTCGTCGGCACACTCCGGCCTGAAGCGAACACAACGAGACTCGTAAAGACCACAGGGAAAAACTGTGTTAGCCTGTGTTAGTGGAATTCTATACGTGACGAGAGTGGACAACCTATCCATTTGACAAGACGCTTAAAGCGTTAAGCCGAATACTTTGAAAAGCAGTTTAATCAACCTAAGCTATCAGCTTCCTTTTCGGACACTGACTGCCCTTCTCCCTGGCCGTCTCTGGATCCACCCTCTCGCTTACAAGTCGAATGTGAGATCGGACT